GGGGCAAGCTTAAATAATTTTTGAGAAATTTTAAAAAAACTTTTTAAAAATTATTTTAGCAGACAAATTTGTCCGCTAGACGGTTTAAGGGATAACCTTTTTGTATTGCAAATTGTATTATTATTTTAAGCATTATGCATGCAAATCCTGTGACCGACAAAGAAACAGATTTAAGATAAAAAGGTGATAACTGATAACCCATTTCACCATAAATTAAGTTTGCAATTGTTTTCAGAGCATCTTGTAGAGAATTATAAATATAAACGTTATTGTTTGTTTTTAGCATTATTTATAGCTTTTTTTGCTATAGCACGTTGTGTTAATAACATTTTACACATTAACAGCATCAATCCTATTTTGTTTTATCATTATTATGTTTTCTAAATTTACTATAGATTATTCCATTATCTGTTATTAAATTAAATTTTCTTTTTGAGAATCAATGTCAATATTAGTATCCAAAGAAATATTATTTGTAATTATAATATTAGGATAATAAGCTGTGAAATCAACATCCACAACAGGATGATTATTTGGATTTTTACTTGAAATCAAGTTTAAACTACCTCCATATTTATCTTCAATTACTTCTTTTTTTTTACGTGACGAAATCAACATATTGTGTTTTGCTGCATTTCTTCCATAAAAATTTCTTACCAAACAACCAACACTATTTGTAAATACATTTGATATTGTGATACAAGTTAGAGTTGCAAATTGTATATAATCACCAATTATATTTCATTTAATCATAAGTTCATGTAAACGGGCTGTATCAACTGAACAGTAATATGCTAATTCCACAGCATATTCTTCTAATAATAGGGAGTCTTGTACTATCATAACTTTTTTGTATTTTTCTAATAGAATCTTTGTTAAATTTGATAATTGCTCCACTAATGCTGATAACAATTAAATATTATTTTTAAATTTAATAGCATTTACATAAACAAACATGCTACGTAGATTTTCTGATGATTCAGGTAAATGTAGTAAATCTATTTTTCCTAATAAACTACAACATTTTAATACAATATCCAAAGTATTTTTTATCTCTGTGAGAAATTTCCTTTTTGTCTAAATTAAAAGATCTATAAAAACTGTATCAGGTATCTGATAATATTCACATATTATCATTTTATTTGGATTTACTTTTATGTTTTAATTAGAACTATCAATTCTATAAATTTTTCTTTGCATCTTTTCATCAATATCTTTTTCGACTACTTTTATCATAGTTTCTCTAATATTATTTACTATGTCTTTTTGTTCTAATATTTGCCAAATTTTTTTTCAATATTTAATATATGTATTTTTTTTAATATAAAACTCTAATCAAATCCTCCAGTATTAAATCCAATTTCAAAAGAAGGTAGGTATTTTTTGATTAACTCAAAAAATTTTATAATTAGCTCTTCTTGTGATTGAACATTAATAATTTGATTGTTGCCATATTTTTTATTATATAAAATTTGATTAACTAGAATTTCTGTTAAACAAAAATATTTAATTGGTGTTGGATCTGATAAAAAACAGAAATCTATTTGAATCATATACACGTAATCTTGTTGTTCTTCTGTATCAGAAAAATATCTAGGCTTTATTGTACTACCGTATTTTATATCTCAATATAGTAATATTAATAGAATTTGTGATTCATATTCTGTTTTTGTTATATCGTCAAATGTTATTTCTATATTGTTTGTTATTAGTTTGTTGATTTGATACAATCTGACTAACTTAAAATTATTTTCACATGCTATTTTTCAATAATGACAAGTGTTATTGTCTGAATAAGTGTCATATTGTTGCCAATACTCCTCAAACTCTTCTCAATTCTTTTCCACATCTAATGATTGATACTTTTTTTTTATTAAATTTAAAACTTTTTTCTTTTGGTTAAATTTTCAAAATAAAGCCGAATAAATTTATGCTTTTCTGTCAAATCAAATAGTTGTTTCTCGATAATTTCATAACTTGATAGATCAAATTCATTAATATAATCTTCTATACTTTTACTTTGTTGTATTAATTTAATATTGAAAAATACTTCTTCAATCTTTATATTAAATATAAATCTTTTTCCTTCAGCATTAATTGTGAATAATTGAAATAAATAATATTTGTTATATAAGGCTGATGAATCAGCAGTATCATAAATATAAAAAATGTTAGACATTTTGTGTAAATAAAATTCTAGTTGGTCAAAGACTAACTAGTAAATATTTTAAAAAATAATTAATATATAACTAATAACAAAGCTATTATATATAATAAAATATTAATTAGTTCAAGAATAAAATTAATTTTTCTTTTTTTTTCTGTTTCTTCTTGTAAAGATTTTTGTTCAATGTCATTTTTAATATTAAATTTTAAAATTTTATAATATGACATTTAAAAATAAAATTTTTTAAAATTACGTAAATAAATTTTAATTATTTTAATTAGTTATCCAATCCAAAAACTAATTACAATCTCTAAATTGAATTGCTATTTGTTTTAATTCATCTAATCTAGTCAAAATAACTGATCTATACATATTATTTTTAGAAAGTATTTCATAAAATTTATATCTTTCAATCCTAACAATTTCTTTTGATAAAATATCTATCAATAGAGAAACTATTGCATCCTTTAGATTTTCATGTTTATACTTTAAAAACTTATTGATAGCTTCAAGAATTTTATTATCTTCTGTTGCTCTATCATAAATAAACATTCAAGATGGTTATATAAACTTTTTTCTTGCTGATCTGATTTTACAGAAGACATTTTAATTTATGTAGAAAAAAAACTATCTGGTCAGATAATGACTAGATAGTATAAAATAAAAATATTTATAAAAAAATAAATTTATATTAAATAGTAAGTTTATTAAATAACCTTTTAAAATAATTCTTCTCATATTTCTCAACAGTATAATTATTTTTAATTTTAATATAATTAGGATAAATTTTATCAATTAATTTTTCGTAAAAATTAGATAGTTTAATTAAATATTTATCAGTATATGTTTCTGCCTTCCAATCTCTTTTTCATTGTCTTTTAATCATATTTTCGTCTGTAGGTTTAAATAAAGAACTTTATTGATGTTTTCTATTTTAATTTCTTGTCTTTTTTTACCTAAAAAATCAATAACTTCTTCGTCTTTAGTATTCATTAATGTAAAAACTTCAGTATCAATATGTGTTCGATCAAGTATTACAAAATTATATGAATCAATCATATTAATTTCTGTAGCTTGTTTTTTGTAAAAATTTAAAATTGTATATTGAAAAAATAAAGCATTATTTTTTGGATCTTTGCAAAAGAGTTTTAATTCATCATCGAGAAGTAAAGATACTTTAACTGGTTGATAAACTTTATATCCTTTTTCTTCTAAATAACTCTTAAATTTTTCTCCAAATGTTGATTTTCCTACACCAATAGCTCTCATTAATACAATAATTTTTGGTTCTTTTGTCTTAATTCTTTTTCTTCTAACTACTTCATTAGGATATTTTCTCTTTAA